AGATGGAAGTAGTAACAAGAAAACAAGACATAATGTTGATATTGAAAGTGCAAGTTCAACTAGTGAAGAACAATGTTACAAGTCTCTAAATTTATATTGCTAGGACGCACTAAATTGAGAAAGTGCGCACCGCCTCCAAGTTGGAAAAAGTCCATCTTGCCTACTTGTTGGGTAATGTACATACCGCTTCCCTATTTGAAAAAGTTTGCAACTTCCGTGACATTGACTTACATATAACTTTAATTTTATTTTTGATTTCATTTTCAATCTTTGTGAATTGTGATTTATGATATGATAATTGACTAAACATGTAGTGCACGTTAAAAGTTCAAGTTGTTATTTAAACTTATATATATGATGCAAAATCAATAAATATTTATACTTGAAAAAAATGATATTTATGTCATTATAGTTTAACTCATTACATCTAAAATTCAAAGCATTGATTTATTGAGATTTTGTAATTCATCTTTTTAAATTCATCACTGCTGTTGTTATGACCACAAGACATACAAGAATTTAATTTTTCTTTTTGTTGCATCGAGTATACTTTCAAGACTTTCTTTCTCATTTTTTTTTCATCTTTGGTGCACAAGTGAGTAATGATACTTCATATGCATATAAAAAAACACCGCAATTTGCTACTGCTTCGCCTGTGGAGCATGAACAACAGAGTCACTGGGCTTGACAACTTTAGCCATATTTGATCCAGAGTTGTGCGTAGATCAATTGTATCCACCCATGACACCTTATCCATATCTATTATCTACCCATCAATCCATCACCAAAGTAAAGCTACTTAAGAAGAAATTGATTTTTTTTTAAAAAGATAGACGCGCCAATGATTTATTATATATAATTACATACAAATGTCACAATTAGAGTGCAGGAACATGAGGTTGTTTATCGTTCAGAGCTTCAATCGATTGCGCTTCTTGATTAGGATGTTGCCAGCGTCCAAGAAGTTATTCTCGGACATGCCGCTGGATGTTGGGATGCATAGGATGGACAACACGACTTGCGCTAGTATAAAATATAGTTCCTTGCCCTTGTGCCTTTACCACGACATAACTTGTAACTCACCGCTAGCGTTATTATCAAGACACTGTCTCATTTGGTGACTTTGTGTTTCATGTGCGCCTCGCACTCGTTGTTGACTCTTGCTTTGAGGGTGGCGGCAATGTCATTGTGATCTTCAGCAGGAAGTATGTTATCTTACTCATCGTCGTCATTGAGCATCTGATCGTACATCAAAACCAATGAGTGCCAGTTCTTCCTGACCGGTGATCGAACAAGCGGAACTTAAGCTTCCTTAGCGTGCTCAATCTGATTGCGCTCAAGATCGGAACGGACAAGATGAAATTTTTTAATTGGATCTAGCCACAACGCCATAACGTGGACACTATCAAGGACAAACTTGCTGTACAAAAGCGCTAGTATGATCCTCTTGATCATGTCGGAGTCTTTGGCCATTGTCATGTTGCCATCCTCGTCCACCACATCGTTAAGTACCAATCAAAGATGACTGAAGATCACATGGGCATCATCATAGGACCTTGTGAAGAGTCGAGTGCTTGAACTTCTTGAACTCCAATGTCATCTGCTAATTATGATCAACAAGTTCTAATATATCTTCAAAACGGCAAGATTTTTTGCACGTTGATGAGGTTGAAAATCTAAGGATTGGGTTGAATATGCTAGAAAGCTTGCCGTAGACCACAATCTTGTGTTTTACTCCACTTTGATCTACAAGCAACACTAAATTGCTCATTCGTAAAGCATGTGTTTAAAAAGGTATGTATTCAATGCATGAATTAGACTTTTTCACCCGGTTGAATGCAAGTTTATTACAAGTCATAGTTATTAGAGTGGCGCAATCCGAGAGTTCAATTGTTTTAAAATCCGGCTCTCTCGTCCCCATCCGATATCCATGCGTCCAAGCTGATATCCATTACCCACCCATTGTACCATGGTAAGGATGGGTACCCATTGCAGAACTCCAGGGACACGCACTAGACCAACTCATGTCCCAAGATCATTGGAACTTCTAAGTTCCACTAAAGAGATTTTATAAGAACACTCCCTACCTACGCATTTAAAGTTCTTTCTGAAGATCTTGTGGCGCTTTTAGCTTCTGGTTTTTGTGTGCATCCTTGCTAACAAAGTCCTACCTACTACTTGCCACCACAATTGATCGTGTATTTTATTGCCTTGTTTCCAACAATTGCACACACTATAGAAAAACCCGCAAGGTATCCAACCAATTCATCCCCAAAACCGTATCGAAAATAAAAACCTTTCTCTATCTCCTGAAACGTTAACATCTTACGATCTTTGCGAGCGCGCAGAGCTTTTTAAACCTGAACCTCAACCACATTTACCCAAAGAACAAGTCGCCCTCCAAGAGATATGTAAATATCAACATTTGACGGAATCTCACAACAAACTTACTTTTTAGCGTTTGATGCATGAGTTAACCAGGAAATACAAGCAAGATATTGATTTCAGTTTACAGCCATACTAGCAATGGGGTGAATTTAATAGCTTGAAATGAACTAAAAAATCCCCTAATTTTATTTATATGTCAAATTTGAAATAAGTATAACACCAAATTTTGGATGGATTATAATAATTTCAAAATAGAAAGGCAATCTTGGTTTTTTATGTTGGATGTTAGATCTTTCCAAATTGGATCTTGTGTGCTCCATCTTGATTTGTGTTGGGAGCTGATTTCATATTTATACCTGATCACCGATTATTTTTATAATATGTGCTCCATACTTTTGTTGTACAAAGTTGAAAACCGTGGCCAAGTTTCTCAGAAGCGCTTTAGGTGATGTCCAATTTGTTCAACACAAACCAAGGGACTATAGCTTAGACTATTCCACAAAATATTCAAAAAAAATCGCTATTTTATTAATCAGCAACCAAGACATCATCATATCAGCAGTATTTTGTGGTATTTCCTGACCACAAAGAATCTTACATCAGAAATCTTACATCAAAGTCCTTTGGAGTACTTTGTACAAGCTTCTAATTTTTTTTTAAACCACGATATATGCATAATCAAAGGAAAAATTAGTAATAAGTGCGTTACAAGCTGTAACGGAAAAAATTATATCCATTTGACGAAGTAACTACACTGAAGTTTAAATTTGAGCATAATTCTTAGAAAAAGGTGATAGAGATGCTTTGTTTTGCTCTAATGACAGATATTGCAGATCATGTGAATATCTATATGAACAATGAAAAATGACTTCAAGACCATTTCTCAATGAGAAATGGCCTTGAGGTATGGATACTTCATTTTCCATTTTCAAAGAGTTATAAAGAAGATATTGAAAGGTTAGATAGAAAAACAAAATTAGAATTTTCATGCCTTTAAGATTGAAAATTGAAAGAAAAAATTTATTTATACCGGGTGGTGAAAATCACTTAGGAGTAGCACAGATTAAAATTGATTTTGGAAAACAGGATTGAGTAAGAGGGACATCTAGGTATTCGGAGGTAAGATGAAGATGTTAACCACAAGATATGATAGACAAATTCATAATTTCCTCTATCATATGTTTATCATATTGTGATAGGGGAACTAATGAGTTGATGTGTAGATAAGTCCGGTTGGAGAATTCTTTCTTCTCGTCCAATGCGAAGACGTGCAAGTAGATCGAAAAACTTGGATATGAGCCCTGGACGTAATTGGGCGTATGAAAGAATTCCATGCCTACCGAGGGTCTCGTTGCAATCACACAAAGATATCCTTGGTTAGTACATACTGCTTTCATGTGATTTGCTACGCGTTAGAGTACAGACTGGGTTACAAGTAGGAAAACCCCTTTGAGGACCCGCTGGCCTCCACCGGAAGGCAATGGAGGTCGGTGAACTGCTACAAGCAAACGACTTCCCAGAAATAAGTCCGACCATTTACTCAGTGCAGAAAAGTTTACATATTTCTGCGTATTCATTGACTTGAAAGCTCTCACAATGTAGAAATCTAGTGATATGACTACCTTTATCATGGATCGCATTTCAGTTGGTTGTTCTTTCTCTTAGCCAGCAGCCTTGCACATCACAACTAAGCAATATCCACTGAAATACAGGTACTTAACATAATGCAGCGAACTCCCTACCCCCATTCACCACGAGGTGATTATTAATACTCGTTTAGAGAACGTACGCATCGACGGCTTTACTTACAAATGTTGAATCACAACAATTTGACGAAGGATCGTATGTGGATTTGTCCACTAGTGGTAGTCTCAATGCTGCATAAAGTCGCCACGCCCGGTTAGAATATGTTGAATCTGAATTTGCTATCGAGGCAAGAAGATCACTCGTACATGAAGATTTCTAGATTGGTGGCCTGGCTAAGGAACAAGGGCATTAATCAGTGACCGAAAGTGTCGGCCCATTTGTGGAGTACGAACGAGACGCAAGAGAACCCAGCTCTGAAAAAGAGCCGGCCTCTTACAGATAGAGAAGCTGGGGCTCTTCACCTCTCTGCGTCGTACGCGTACTCTACTGAAAGGGTATTGTACCCAGCCTCCATTCCCAGCCTCCTCAAGTCAATGCCTCCCGAAGAGGCATTGACTTGATACTGATTCGAGTCTTCACCTCTCTGCGTCGTACGCGTACTCTACTGAAAGGGTAGTGTACCCTTCCTCCATTGCCTCGGATAGTCACGGATGCAAGGGAGGCATTGACTTGAGTTCCGTGATTTCACTTCAGATTGGAGGGCGTGTGCTTGGAGCGTGTGCTTGGGCTAGCATCTGCTGCCAACGGATCCCGCCCCCTGGACTCCGCAGTGTCGTCCTGTGTCCTGCCCTCTGTCGTCCTGCCCTGTCCTGTACTGTCCAACTAGATCGGTCCCGGTGATAAAACCGGGACCGATCGCAGCAGACTCGGTCAGCCCTGTCTTATGAGGCACTTGACAGTTCGGGAAAACGCAATGAGAAAATATAAAACGGCTCGTACTGAGCTGCTTCTCTCACCTCCGCCACAACTACAGCTAGAGCTCGAAGGGCGTTCGATTATTTCGGCCATTTTGGTCGTGCTCTGTGTCATCTCTCCCCTTGCGAATCACAGCTCGCAGCGCTGTGCCACGCAATTGCTTGCACGCCATTCGTACATAGTAAACGCAGCAAAGGCAGAATTCAGCCAGAACTACGCTGCGGAGTGATTCACTGTCCGCTCGTTAGCCTCACGCTCTCCGACGTGACAAACGAGAAGAGCCATTCTTCACGAGGCGCCACCCTCTCTGTGCCTGGAGCTGTCGATACAAGCCAGCCGTCCCATAGCTCGTCCTTTCGAAAGAATTCGAACAGGAGCCATGACTGACAATAACGACGTGAGTGAAGAAGGAGCCCAAAGCAGAACTGAATTGTGGACTCGACTGAGATACTGAGACTGAACTCATGCATTGTTTCAATCTGCACCCGAATCAAGCTCGAGCTAACTGAATGGTGGGACTTTGTAATTTGTGCTCGATCAGATCTTTCAAGGAGACAAGGTACCTGACTGGCTCACAGCGACCACAGAGCAAGAAAACAACTTTACGGTGGGCCACTCTCCTGTATTCGACGGGCAATTCCGAGCTGCGCCGGTAAGGATTGCTGAAGCCAGAGACCATCTTAGACTCGCAGTTCAAGGTTTTAACGACGTGCAGGATGATGTGACATTGCTATATTCCAGAGTCTGACAGACTTTGCTGTATATTTGCGAAATCCAGGTGGTTGCCACTCCTGGCTGTTTCTTCTACGTTGAATGCGGAAATGGCTCCTCAGCTCGAGGTTTCGAATTCGGTACGTAGTTCTGGAGACTGAATCTGGCGTGGTTGGCTTTCTTGAGCTCGGTTCGGGTACAGACTCCTGTATATCGTTGTGCGACGCGAAATCGGGACGCTGAAATTTGACCACCTGCTGCAAATCTGAACATTGAGATTAGGCAATTCGGATTATGGAAATATGTCTAATTCGTTGATGTGCTCCATATTGCTCCAGGATCTGCGTTCGGCAGGGAATGTGGAACATAGGAGCGCCGACAGGTTATCCAATCTTCAGTGAATCCTCAACGACGATTCTTCTCCTTCTTCTTCTTCGGGACGCGCAAACATTTCCGAATTGAAGTTCATGTACGCGAAGAAGCATTTCAGATTTCTCCTTCTGTCACTCGTCTCCAGGAGCCCGACAGCGCCGACTTCAGAATCGATGAGTTTGTAAATAATATTACTGTACCATGTAATTAAAGCCAAATCTGACTACGTCTAGGTTGGCAATCGGCATCATTGGCTCTCACACTCGGATTCGTTTAGAAGAATACATGACAACTTGGCCCCGCACTCCTTTCAGCAGAAGGATAGTCTCTTTGAGGGGCTGTTACGTTTGGCCGGCAGATTAAACAACAGCTTCGAGCTGCAGGAAGAAGTTTCAGGCAATAGAAACCTTTAATCCACGACGTGCACAAGGATGATCATGATGCAGCTCGTCGAAGGGTATGACGCTGCTGGAAGCTAGAAATCCACCCTACGCACTGGGTATTACGAGCTTCAAGTCTCGCTCAAATTGTTCATTCTACTATTTGTGAAGATCCCCACTGTAACATAGTCAACCAGGGTGGTCTTCAAGTATTATGTCTAAGCTGCAATTAAATACAGATTCATGTTCAAGCTCATCTTATTAGTTAGCTGCAGTGCAATTCCTCCACCCTGCAGCTCAACAGCTAGCAAGGGGCGGATTAAAATTCAATGTACATTATGCAGGATGTTAAGATTTCCGCACCGTCCGTGCTGGTTATGCAGGCTAGCCTGATGCAACAACAATTCTCATGTTGATAAACAATCTGATCACAATCATTGTTTGTACAGTGGACTCGAGTCTTGTCGCCGTTGTGAGGTCTAGAATCGAGTATGAAGTCAGATCGGAAGAGGTTTTCATTGCTGAGCATCGTCAGCTTCCGACACTCACCAAGCGAGGTTATTCTCCTAAGTGGCCCGCCTTGGTACGACCCATGTGAATGCAATTACGGCAGGGAGATGGCGATCTCCTAGACTCTTCTCCTCGTCAAGGTTGCTAGAAATGAAATGAATGATTGATGTGGGCTTTTTCCTTCTCTTGTTTCCTGCGAACTCATTGCATTCGGCTTCCCTCGGTGACACTTGCATGAAGAATCTTCTTTTCAGAGTATACCTGCGGCAATTTGCAGCAGCTCTCCAGAATGATTTGAAATGTTCTCTAACCCGTGTCGGAGACTCTTCGACTCTCAGTGAGTATCGGAGTGACTGTCATCGAGTTCGGCCGATATTTGGTCACTCCAGATTAGATAACCATCATTCTCATTCCTGAAGTGCTTACTGTCTGTTTGTCTGATGGTCCGTCCAACTGGTTGGCATCAGCGACGGTGCATGTAATTCGTATCATTTTCACCCGGGACATATTACTCTCGTCCCACCTACGAGTCTTTCACTTTCTCACGGGATTGAATCGAGCAGTGCCATTGGTGAGTGATTTCTGCTATTCGTTATCGAAGAACAGAAATGTGCCACCGATCCCTTAGATTCTCTTCCGTCTCATACGTCCGGTACTTGTTCTCTTTTCTGCACCAATGGCATGAAGTACTAAGTCCGAGTCGGGCGTTGGTGTTTTTGGATCTCCGCGTCGATCCTGTTATCTTCATTCGAGAGTGATTTTTAAACTCTTTGTGGATAACATTTAATACAGTGCACGATTGTGGATGTCGCTGATACCTATCTTCAGTTCTTGAGAGTTGTTGCCACTCGTTCTCTCCTACTTACTGGCCCCTGGCATGGTCCTCGTATACTCATTTCGGCTATGTACGTACCTCCATCCTTCGATAGCTTGTAGGTACTTTGGCACCGGACGCCATGTTTCGAAGATGACTCTACGTGATGGGCCGAATCGACTCAGGGTGCGTCATGAGGTCACGCAGAGCCTTCACTTGTGACCATCAATCGCCTGGTTAAGATTTATTTTTACTCATCAAATGGTATAGCTGGTTTCATCTTCGCTTCCTGCTAGCGATTTCCTTTCCACGAGTGTTTGGATCGAGTCCTGGAAAAATCCACAAGCGAAGTGGCACATGTGATTTACGAACACAATTGTGACGAAGGGGACTTATTTCTCAAGGATGCAAATGCTAAGCTCGAGCATTAGCAGCAACAGGCCAGGATCGCTGCAGACGATGTGTTTTCACTGCGTAGAGTTCAAAGACTTCGATCTTTGCGAATTGGATCCCTTTCAGCAAATGCTGGATCGTGAGGTTTCATTCTGGTCGACTCTCACATGTGGTCTGTAGACAATTACTGCATCACTTGTTCAGGTTGTTGTGAGGTGTTTGGCATGGAGCCTGGATATGAATTTGATTGCTTTTCACCGCAGTCTCGTTCTGTGTTGTGAAAGAACCCATTCGAACTCACGACTCGGTTTTCTTCAGTGTAAAAAGTCCTTGTTTCGGCCGCAGGTAGAAGTTATCATATTTTAGGAGACCTTAAGATGATTCGAGCCCGTCTTTGGCCAGGGAAGAAATCCCACCATGGATAGCATCCCTGCCATTCATGCCCAAGCTTACTGGGATCTGATGGAGATGTCAAAGTCCGAACTTCGAAGGAGGTCGCACACGCTCGAGCACTGTAATTCTGTAGCAAGTTCTTCGACACTCACCGAGCCTTGACACTGTCTTGACTCACACCGTCACCTGCTAGACGCTCATGATTTCCATACCATCAAGTTTGGTGTAGGAAATGTAATGAGAGATCCTTGACGAAGTAACTAGCTAATCGTGCAATTCGCAATTGAACCGATCTTTGACCATCAACCAGTTCAACCATCGTCCGTGCCAGTTACCTGATGGTAGCCTCGGTAACTTCGGGTTTGGCAGCTTCCTACTTTCAGTGGATGAAGCGAGTTTGGCTTCTTTTTGTTCTAAATGGTCTCATCGCCAGCTCGTTAGCTAGACCAGATCCTTCTGTGAGCACGTAGTTCACACACTAGCAGCGAATTGTAGCTAAATTTGAAGGCAAACATCATCAGCTGCCGAGGCTCCTTGGTTTCGGGATTCCGGGGAGGGAGAGAGAGAGAGAGATGATATATCAGAAGCGATAGATCGATCGATCGGCCGACAAATGCGAGAATCTTATCTGGCGACACGATAAATAGTTAATAAGCTGTCATGACTGTCTTCTGGGTTCTCGAATTTCGCCCTGTCTGCCAGGACATGTGCAAGGTGAACATGATTCTCCTTCAGGTTTGCGCTGTTGAATTAGCAATAGCATCTTGCTAAAGGTAGGAGGCTAGCTAGGGGTGCTTGTCAAATACTACGCGAGTCTCAGACCTGTGTGCTGAACATGGCAACGCCCACCGGAATGAGCCAACTGGACTGCATCACGCTAGCTTGAGTACGTGAAATGTCAGATCGAATAACAAACTTGGAAACATCCGTGAGCAGTGCAAATGTGAATCTCCAAGACTTACGACAGCCGACAATACAAATGTCCCCTGAAGGGCTGGAGTGTTGGAGCGCCAAGCGGCAGCATGCGCAGCAGAAGCAGCAGCAGATAAAGTGCCACTCTGCAACCCAACAAACTTCAGTAGGCAATCAATGAACACCTGAAGTATGAAATGCCTTACATTACTGGATATGCAAAGATTTCGTGAAAACCAGCCCAATCGCAGACCCTGTCGTGATACAGATGCGTTGGAATCGATTATCACAGCAGCATCTTAGGCTCAGTTGGTACTCAGTATAACAGTTTTCAAACGTCACCGTGATGTCCTCCATAGTGATGTATCCCACAAACAGAAGCAGTGGTCCTGCTCGCTTACATACCCCGCTCGCTAGAACACCATTTCTAGCTCTGAGGCAACTTAGTAAGAAGATGCTCGCTCGTCATCCTTCCTTCCGCACGACGTTAACGACATCAGCCGCATATAGAACATTCGGCTAAAATTTTCTTGCCTGCGCCAGTAGTTTATACTCTGGAGCCAGAGGCTATGGATCCTACACACGGCCTCAGTGAGATTACAACTCGAAACCTGGGCTTTCAATCCGATCATAGCACCAGCACCGGACAGGCGCCATAGCAGGTTGTCCAGACGAACATAGAAACACGTGCGAAGTGATTATCCTGACCCACCTGACGACATGTCCTTGCAAGTCTAACGTAGGATGCAAAAGCTAGGAAGTCAGTGCGTCTGTCGGTCGGTCAGCCAGCCCGTCCTTCCTTCCTCCCCCTGCCCAAGGATCGAAGCTCCTTCCATTTCGTCCAGAATGATATATATTGTCGTGCTGCAAACTTGAACACGTCCGATCCCCAAGCCAGCCTTGCGTTGTCGAGTTTCAGATCATACCATCATGCAACCTTGATACTGTCACATATGTTTTTGCACATTTATGGATGTCTGAAATCCCGTGTTCTCTTCGTTTAATAGTCCATCAGTCTCTTACATCGTCACTTCATGATCGTGGGATAACAAGCATCACAATTGAATCGATAAATCGTAATATAGGCTATCTTATATCACATACTCTAAACCCTTCCACCCTAACTAATATTATCCTTTATGTTCTGGCCGAAGAGCACCATGTCATGATAAATGTTTGACATACATATTATAACTTGAAGAACTCTGGGTGGTTTTTGGAAGAACCTGTGAATTCTCCAAGAGACAGTGGTAATTTGGAAAATCTTGCATTGATGATAGATTGTGTCTGGTGATTGCAAGATGTTGAAGGCTTCAATACAATGAAGTTAATGAGTAGATTTTATTTCAAGTAGAAATGAAATTGGCTCAAGAACTCATAAAATTAGCTAAGATAAGTTTGTATGTCAATCTTAGTAAAAAATTTGAAGTTGGATTTACACAAGCAGAAACCCTGCCGGAATTGGCCAATATGGATTGAGATCAATAGTTCGTTCAGATGTTTTGAGTATTAGCGGGTAAGAAAAACTGAAACAACATCATCAAAGCAGGGGGAGGAAGGAAGTAATAGTTAGTAATAAAGTTGAAGTAATAAGTTTATAAGATGATCTTCTTAAAAATTTGATGTTGGATTTGCATCAAAGAGAGGAACCGCATACTATATGATTACCTTACGATGTTTGTTTTTTTTTTTGTAAGCCATCCTAAAAACGTCCAATGTCTTAACTCAAAAGAAAGTGTATTATGCACAAAGTACTTACGTACAGATTTTGAAACCTTAAATTAAAATCAAAGATTGTAAAATACTTATCAACATGCAAAAATGTTAAAAGATGTATGTTTGAAAAAAAACCCAAAAAAAATCGCAAAAAGAAAAATGTTTCATAAATAGCATTGTGAAGTGAGTTTATCAAATTTGACACTTGAATTGAAAGTCAAATTATACTGTTTTCAAATGCTTCGATGAAACTAAATGAATTTGGGTTGGATAAGTTTGAATCTTTGACGCATTTTTAAGAATTGAAGTATTATTATGTATGTTTTTTAGTATTGATCATGTCTTACTATTTATGTAGCATGATCTATTATTGATATCATGTGTTTTGAGTGTTGCTGCTCAGATGTCCAGACAAAACTAAGGTTGGATTTGCACACCAATCACACTCATAGTATTTTACCTTCATGATACAATATTTTAGGATCTAGAATATTGATGAATGTGTGTAATAATGACAGATTTTAGTATACTCTTGCTTGAGCATTTTTTGGAGAATCATATAGCGATATTGAATTTCAATTGGAGTTATTTTGCTGTTATGTGAGGAAGTAGATACATTAATGACACTTTGGAAATCATTTGAGACTTTGAAAAGAATAAT